CGGGCCCACCAGGGGCAGCAGCGCCGACACGCGCCTGCGGGGCTTCGCGCTGGGGGTTACCTGGGCCCGAGACGTCTCTCTGGCTTTGAGTTCCTGACGCTCCTGCGAAATGGCTTCTGCCAGCAGGGAAAACTGTTTAAGGGAAGAGAAAGCCCCTCTTCCGTTTAACGTTTTGGTTCGAGTGTCGCAGTTCCTATGCTTGACGTTCGCGAGCTGAAAACCCTTAGGGTTTTGAGTCCCGCCCGCTGCCCAGGCGGGAGTGCGGCGGCTCACTGCGGCCTCGACCTCCCGGGCTCCCGAGAGCCTTCTGCCTCAGCCTCTGGAGCAGTCGTAGCTACAGGCACGCGCCACCACACCCAGCTCATGTTGGAAGTGTTTTGTAGAGATGAGGGCCCTCAGAACGTTGCCCAGCTTGGTCTACGACTCCTGGGCTCCATCCTCCCCCCTCAGCCCCCAAAGTGCTCCCAGCACCCGCCCGCCAGGGACAGAAGTGCCGTCACGCGGCATGAGCCATCGTGTCCGGCCCAAACCTTCATTTTAACGCCAACAGGACGATATACATTCTGTCCTACGGCCAACTGTTAGCTTATTTTTCTCTGAACTAGCCTTGCAAAGAGGGTCCGTCTAGGCGGGAGGCATGCAGTTCTGAGCGAAGACGGAGAGCCACTGCCAACAGACCGAGCGGCCTTTGCCACGGGGCTCAGGGCAAGCGCACCGCGGCACCAGCAGGCCGCAGGAGCCCACCTGGTCCTTGTAGTAGTTCTCCATGGAGTCCAGCTCAGCCTGGTGCTGCCTCCTCTGTTCGTTGCGCTTGTCTTTGGCGTAATTTCTTAGGTCACGCAGCCTTTGCTTCTGAATCTGCAAACCTTCTTCAAACAGTTTCTTAAATATCTGTCGGTTATTTAATCACAAAGTTATGCTTAACCTTCACTGAGGAACAGTCATTTCGCCCAACTAGAAGTATATGCTGATGCGTGCAGCTCGCAAAGATTTTTAAAAGAATAACAGCTTTACTCGTTATTCACATGCCATAAAAGTCAGCCTTTTAAAATCCAAGTCAGTCTTTTGGGTCTACTCCGAGTTGTGCAACCATCACCACTAATCCTGGGGCATTTTTACCCCCCAAAACACCCCCCAGCACTGGCTCTCACTCCCATCCCTCTCCTCTGCCGCGACAGGCACTCATCTCCCGTCCACGGATGTGCCTGTTCTGGGCCTTTTGCGTAAATGGAATCACGTCACCAGAGGCCTTTTCTATCGGGCTGCTTTTACTCAGCCTGTTTCCAAGGTTCATCTGTATCGCAGCACCTATCAGGACTTTATTCCGCCCATCACCAAATAACCTATGACTGTAAGAACACACTGTGCATCCTCTCGTCGCCGACGAGCCGCTGGCCGTCCCCTTTTTGGCCCTTAAAAACAATGCTACTGTGAACACCTCCGTGCAGGCTTTGTGTAGACACATGTTCGAGTGAAACTGCTGGGTCATCTGGGAACCCCATGGCCTTCTGGTCACCTTGTCAGGACCTGCCAGACTTTTCCAGAGTGGCCACACACCTTACAGCCTGACCACCCTGCCCGTGGGCTCCAAGGTCTCACCCCTGCCAGCACTTTTCTTCTGGCCGTTCAGTAGGCGTGCCTGGCATCTCACGGGGGATCAGACCCGTGCCACGCCCACACGCATGTATCCAGGTAGGTGCTGCCATAAGACCACTGCTCCAAGGACCCTCCCCCGCTCCAAAAGCACTGGATGGAGAGCTGGTTCCGACTGGCGTGTGCCAAGAGCTGGGTCCTGCTGACCTCTGAGCACGGCCTGCACACAAGCCCAGAGATGCCCTGCTCTGCAAGCGCCATCTGTGCCCGTCTGGGATTCCCAAAGACTCACGACTCCGGCCTGGTTCGGGTGGGTAGGCAGACCTGAGCAACCCCTGCAGCACAGTCGCCTGCAGCATCCCCGGGCCCTCGTGGCTCCCGCTGGGCTGGACGAAGCCTCACTCACCATCTCCTCCCGGGTCCTCATCCTCAGCATCCTCGCTCGCAGTTGAACGCGGTAGTCGTCGTAATACTTCTGGGCACGCGCAACCTGCTGCCGGTTTTCTTTGACCTTGGATTGCATCAGCCTCTGTCGATGAACGCGGTCCTTGACGTCTTGCTGGGAAAGGGGGAGAGAGGTGAGGGCCGCAGGAGGCAGGTGAGCCCTCTCACCGCCTCGGCACACTTGGGCCTGGAGGGCAGCGGCCGCCCGGGTGTCAGGGCTCGCCGGCCCAGAAGCCCCCCCAGCCCCAAGGCAGCCCCAGCAAGCCCCGACGGTGCAGAGCGAGGGGGCCGGAGCCCTCCTGGAGGAGCCCGGGTGTCACCCCACTTCCACCGGGGATTGGACGCCACATGCGATGCCAGCTTCAGAGGACAGGCATGGCGAGCCTCAGACTTTTGCGCAGAGCCCCGTCAACAGCGCTTGGGCCATGACCCGAGGGCGTGAAGAGCGTAGTAAAGGGCGTGGCCCCAGGCCTCCCAGGCCTCGCCGTCCCGCGGCCCCACCCCACACGCAGCTCCCAGGGCTGCAGGCCGTGGAGAGCTGCGTCCCTCCCAGCGGGGCTCTGCCCTGCACCCTCTGGGACCGAGTGCTCCGCGAGCCCCCGCCCAACAGGCGACACGGGGCTGGGCCTGAGCACTGTGGACCCCAGGGGGAGGGGAAGACACTTTCTCCAGCCTGCTGTGCGAGGCAGGCCCCGCAGCCGCTTCGGTTCAGCGAAGACCTAGGGGCTTCCAGGGCGAGTGTCGGGCGAGGGGGGTGCTGCTGCGGGCAGGGGAGACGCGTGACTCGGCGGCCCCCAGGGCGCTCCCAGTGTACCAGCCTCCTGCTGTGCTCGTGCTCCTTCTTGACCAGGGCCGTGAGCAGGTCCTGCCGTCTCAGGGCTTCCGCCACCTGCGGGACAAGGACAAGGCGAGCCGCTCCCGACGCTGTCCGCCGGCCTCCAGGACGAGCTCCCCGCGCTCCTGGCCGGCGGGCCCTACCTCAACCTGGAGCTTCTTCTGGGACCGACTGTCTCTCCGCGCCTCTTTCTTGAGCTGCTCCAGCTGTGCTACCTGCTGCCTCCACATTCTGCTCAGCGTCGGGCCAGAAACACAGAGGAACGGAAGGTGCTCCAACAGGAGCGGCAGGAGCCCTCGCTCGCCGACTTGCACTGCAAGGTGAGGCGAGGCCTGAGCCCAGGCCACCACGTCCACCAGGTCCCCATGGCCCGGCCCTCTGGGTGACCCACAGGTGCGCGATGCTGCCTTCCTTCTTGACCGGAGTCAAGCAGCCACTTCTCGGGACCAGATACGCCCAACAGCTCTGAGGCCACCCGGGGCCCGAGGGGCCCGGCCGCCCCAGCGCCCGTGGGTGGCCGCCTTCTGTTATGGCAGAGCCTCCTCGGCCCCCGGAAGGCAACGCCAGACACGTCTCCGGGCCTGGGGCACACACCCCTTCAAACTCCACCAAGCTCAGGAACGACAAAGCCGCCGGCCTGGGCAGGTGGCCACCGCGGTGGCGTCCTCGGGTGCCAGCAGAGAGGCCTCCCTGAAACCCCTCCTCCCCACACACTCAGGGTCCCTCCGGAAGGCCGGTCTCAGCCGGGAAGAGGCCGTGGGTGTTCAGGGCCGTGTGCGGGGAGGTGGGTACCCCCACTCCTCCCAGCTGCCAGTTCCTGCCAAGCACAGCTGCGTGAGTCTCACCTGGAGTGGCTGCTCTGCCTGGCTTGGGGAAGCTGCCTCTCGGGCTCTGAGTTGTGGCTTCTCTGGAGTAAATCTTCCAGGGCTGACAGCGGCCTGGAGTTCCTTTATCGACAGTGTCCCTGTATGTTTTTTCCTTGGGAGCAGACACGGAGCAGAAAAAGGCAGCCCAATGACTCACACGTCACCTGAAATGTGGCACAGTGACTCCCAGCCCACCCCCGCTTCCGACAGGGAGGTCTGCTTGGCCTCCAGATGCCCTAGGCCACCAAGGCACCTCTTGGCCTCTGGCCTCCTGTGGCCCCTGCGGCAGCACCAAGTCTGTTTCCGTTCCAGGCCTCACAGTCCCACGCCCTCAACACGGCCATCCTTAGTAGGGCCACCCTGCTCGCTCCTGTTCTGTCCACGGGGTTTTTCCCATGCCTCCCCCGGCCTCCAACCACCCTCTGAAAGGCAACGGAAAGGTGTACAACTCGGTCCAGAGCAACCACGATTTCCTGTCTGACTCCCCTTCGACTCTGTCAGCCTAGACTATTCTGGAAGCCTGGTGAACTCTCGAGCCCTTCTCAGAAAGCTTGGAAACAGACGGAATTTTAGGCAGGCAGGAAAAGCGCTTGTTTTCTCTGATCCCACGTCTTGCCACATGTTAGCAATGCGGATGCCTATGACAAGTGAGACCCCTACACCACGAAACGCCGCCCTGCCTCTCCCTCAAGAGTCGATGGCCAAGGCTGGCGGTCCTTTCTAGCTCATCTCTGAACGTCCCCCCAGGGGCCAAGGGCATTTACGACAGTGGAGACTTTTACCCACTGGTTCCTCCTCCTCATCACGTGTCCCTGGAGGTCTGACGTTCTCCTGAACTGTCTTTCTTCTCAGTTCCCGCTCAAATGCTTCCGTGAGCACCTGGAGGGGAAAAGGCCATACAACATTCCAGCTGTTGGAAACACAACGAACAGTCGGGATAAGGTCACCTGGCATCCTGCCTGTGCTGACGGTGCTTTCAGACTCCGCATCATCCGTTGACAGAATTTTTTTTTTTGAGTTGGAGTCTCACTCCGTCACTCAGGCTGGAGTGCAGCCGCAGGCTCAATGGCCACCGCAGCCTCGACCTGTTAGGCCCAGGCGATCCGATCCTTCTGCCTCAGCATCCCACGTAGCTGGAACCACAGGCATGTGCCACCACAGCTGGCTAGTTTTTGACTTACTGTAGAGACTTCTCGCCAACTTACGAGGCTGGTCTAGAGCCCCCAAGCAATCCTCTCACCTCGGCCTCCCAAAGTGCTGGGCTAACAGGCTTGTGCCACCGTGCCCAGCCCTAGTTGACGGTATTCTAACAGAGATGCAACTGGGACATAAAACCAAGTTGTGCATAACACACCGTCTTTATTCCTTTTTTGGAGTCTGTCACCCAGACTGGAGTGCAGTGGCCACTCCCGGCCACCGCAGCCTCGACCTGCCGGGCTCCGGCGATCCTTCCGCCTCAGCCTTCCAAGTAGCTGGAACTACAGGCGTGTGTTGCCCCAGCTGATTTTTTGATTTACCGTAGAGACCAGGTCTTACCACGTTGCCCAGGCTGGTCTCGAGCCCACAGGCTCAGGTAAGCCTCTTGCCTCGGCTCCCAAAGTGCTGGGATTATAGGCTTGCGCCCCACCGTGCTCGGCCGCCTTCTTTATTCCTAAGTGAGTTTCTGTGTTTATTACTCCCAAGTGGCAGCCATGTGTTGAGTTCTAAGCTGAGTGCAACTACTGCCAAGACATCTGAACTAGTTTGTTTTCCACCGTTACAGATCCTGTTCTGAACTCGAGCTCCACTTCAGAACCCTGCTGCCCAGGCAAGTCGTCCGGGCGGTCACACTGCCTCCCTGCTGAATCCTGCTGCCTCCCCTCCCATCTTGGGAAACTTACCATCTCTGCCGGGCCAGTGGCCTGTCACAAGGCATCCACCTCCAACCCCCACGGATCTCCTCTACTTGACCTGCCGGGACACTGAGCTATTATTGTCTTAGGAGACTGGTGTCACGCTATGATCCCTACGGAGACACAGGCTATGCCACCTAGCTCTGCCATCCGCCGGGCGCAAGAACACTGACTGCACTCGAAGCCTCCGCCACAGCGCGTGCCCCGATGCGGCCTGCGGCTGTGGGGACGGCAGGACCTGCTGCCCGGCAGAAGCACCTTGGCTCGGAAGTGGCGGGTGTCTGCCTCCTTCGGCTGGCGCTGCCCTCTTCTCTCCATACGGGACGGTCTGCGTCTGTTAACTGGAGACGGAGACAGCGAGTGGGACCTGCGGGGTGGCTCTCTGCGGGCGGAAGGTCCTGCAACACACGGAGACGCCACCGTTGGTTCCCGGCAGCAGAAAGGTCACGTGGGAAACCACGCAGCTGGACGGCACAACCCAAGGAGACTGCCGCGTGAACGCGCTCCACACACGCCCACCTGTGAGCAACTTGCAAGTGCATGTTAAGCCTCACAAATAAACGGCCAAACGCACAAAGACGTGCATTTGTATCTCCAAAAGCCACTCAGGGCTGCACTGCACTCGGCCTCACATTCAACAGGCAGAGGGCCAACCGTGCACAGGCCTCACAGGACGTCACGGAGGTGCCCGGAGACAGGCCGCGAGCGGCAGGAAGGCAGCCGGGCCAGGCAGTGCAGCCGCCGCTCTGGCCGCCGGGTCCCGCGGAGGCGGATGCGACATGCACACCTCTGAGCGCCATGGGCACCGTGCACCAAGCCTGGCTCCTCCCACTTGGAGCCCAGCCCTCTGGCTCCCCCGACCAGGAGCTCACACACCGCTTCCCTCCAGCGGTGGGAGTCGGAGGCCTCACTCTGTCAGCCCAGCTGGCGTGCGGTGGCTCAACCGACCTTGCCTTAGCTCCCCAAGGAGCGGGGACTGCAGGCACGTGCTGCCACGTCTGGCCTACGTGTTCACGTCTTGTAGACATGAGGTCTCACTGTGCTGCCCCGGCTGGTCTCAAACTCCTGGGCTCAAGTAGTCCTCCACCTCGGCCTCCCCAAATGCTGGGATGACAGGTGTGAGCCACGGAACCCGGCCCAGAAAATGCTTTATGTCCCCCTGTTCACAGATGTGTGGGCCTCTGCTAGCTGTGAAGAGGGGGACTCCACAACTTTTTGGAAAAGCAATTAATTATAGCTCTAATGCTAAGGAAGTTAGTTTGATACCTTTATAAATACAATTTCCTAGAGAGTGCAGAATTCCCTGAGCTTTTATTTTTCCTTTCGTGCTTTTTGAATTCAGATCTCTCAAGTTCACTTTAAATTCTAAGAGGATATATATTTATTTATTTATTTATTTGAGTCGGAGTCTCCATCTGTCACCCAGGCTGGAGCAGTGGCACACTCATGGCCACTGCAGCCTCCATCTACTGGGCTCAGGCAATCCTTCTGCCTCAGCCTTCCAAGTAGCCGGAACTACAGGTGCGCACTACCACGCTCGGCTAATTTTTGACCTATTGTAGAGATGAGGTCTCGCCAAGTTGCCCTGGCTGGTCACAAGCCCGCAGGCTCAGGCAATCCACTTGCTTTGGCCTCCCACAGTGCTACCAAGCCTGGCCTAAGAGAATACTTTTAAAAAACCTCATCTCTACAGTAAATCAAAAAATCAGCCAGGCGTGGTAGCGCACGCCTGTAGTTCCGGCTACTCGGAAGGCTGAGGCGGAAGGATCGCCGGAGCCCAGCAGGCGAGGCTGCGGTGACTGGGAGCGGTCGCTGCACTCCAGTCTGGGCGACCGAGTGAGACTCCAACTCAAAAATAAAAATAAAAAAATAAAACCGGCCCTAATGTCTTTTAAGTGACAGATGTCTGAGATGCATTTTCTTCTTACATTTTAACAACGTGTTTCATAGTGGGACACGTGTGTATGTGTAGAGTCAGGGGAACGTGGCCGTTCCGGGGAGCTGCCTGGAGATGAGCTGAGTCATCTGAAGGTAAGAGAGATGAAGTCGTCGAGAGAGGGACACATTCTTGGCGGGGGGGGGGGAACACACCAAAAAGAGTTAAGACGTTCTGGATGAGAAAAAACTTTCCTAGAGAAACAGTGGGTGACCAAAGGTACAGCTAAGCGAAAACACAGAGTTTTCATGGATGGAAGACAGGATAATTATGGGGATTTGAACACTGGGGATCAAAGCAGAGGAAGTATCTGCAAGGGGCAGTCAGTCTGAAACTGCTGGCAGGGGTATAAATGGGAGCAGTCACTTTGGCGGCAAGATGGCTATATGGAAAAACACAGCCCTACGAACCAGCCATTCTACCAGAACTGATGGCAGTGAAACTCCTGCACACGGTACGAGCTGCTCACTGCACAATTTTTTATATTACAGAAAACTGGAAACGACCTGTATGTCCAACAACAGGGAAAATGGTTAGTGACATATACATAACATACATGCATATGTGCACGAATGCACACGCACACGCACACACACACACACTTGCCCATGTATATACATATATTCAAATGGAGCCCACCAGGAACTCAGTGACACAGTAATGAAAGTGAATGAAGTGCATCTGTGTCAACATAAATAGGCGAAACAGCGACATATATACACATTCACATACACTCATACATGTACAGACACCGGTATAGATGGAACTCAGTGATGCAGCAGTGAACACAGATCTGTAAGTTCCAACAGAAAAACACATTTCTAGGCAATGCTAACTGAAAACAGCACCTATGTCAGTGTTCTAAGAACATGAAACAATAGTATGTTCAGGTAAGTGACATATTAGCTGTTCAAACTTAAAAACAGGGACAAGAGAAGACCCCCAAGTCTAAGAGAGCGGTTTCGTCGCGGCAGGGGAGAGAGCTACTGGGCGCAGAGGGAGTTCCGTGGCTTGTTACGGGCCCAGGTAAACAGAATCGTGCACACTGCTACGTCTAGAAGTGAAGGAGAAAGCAAGTCCCCGGAACCAGGGGAGCCAACCCGTCACCCAAGGGGAACCCGCCTGGCCTCTAGGGCAGTACCTGGCTGGAGCTGCTGCAGCCCGTACTCCACGATGCCGTCACTGTGCTGAGATAGCGTCTCCTCATGCCCGCGCTCCACCTCTTCGTCTCCGGCACCCTCCTCATCGCCAGGCTCCTCTTTAACTCGGCCACCCAGGGCAATTTTTAACATCTATTGGGAACGTTTTTCAATATCTTTCATCAATTTCAACAGAATGCTAACTTGGTAGGACAGGTACAACCTTTAAAAAGCTTCCTTTGATAGTCACTGATACCATGTTTCCAGGCATTTACGCATGCTTAGTTTTAAAAGGGTGTCTACCAGTGCTGTGGGCTATTCAGTTCAAAGTCACTCAAGGCAAGCTCAGATGAATGGGGGAACGGGTGAGGGGGGCAGGGTCACGCCGTTTTGGTCAAAAACTGCTGAACACTCAGTGCACTGTGGGCAAGTGTTCTCATAAATCACCCAGCATGCAATGGGCTAACACTGAAAGAATCTCCAAAAACAATCTATTGAAGCTGGACGCAGTCTGTCACAACACCACAACGCTAACTGGTCCACAGATGCTGATGGGTTTCCAGAACACACATCTAGTAGGGGAAGCCTGAACAACAAGGGCCCCGTCCTCCAAAATATAATTTCAGGTCTTTTGGGGTCTCCCTTTGTACTTTGTATTCAATGATACCTAAAAACTGTAATATTGTATTTTGTGATAATCAGTGACCCATCTAATTTTATACCAATTATGTCTTTAGTGACAAAGGGAAATAGTATAAGATAAATGATTTAACATCATTTATGCTAGATAGTTTTCATCAGAATTCATTAAAATTTGGATAAATCTGAAGGCTGGGCTCACGCCTGTAATCCCAGCACTTTGGGAGGGGGAGGTGAGAGGATTGCCTGAGCCTGGGGGTTCAAAACAAGCTTGGGCAACTTGGTGAGACCTCGTTTCTACAATCAAAAAATTAGCCAACCATAGTGGTATGCATCTGTGATTCCAGGTACACTGGAAGGCTGAGGCAGAAGGATTGTCTGAGTCCAGCAGATTGAGGCTGCGGTGGCCCTGAGCATGCCACCCACTCCAGCCAGGGTGACAGAGTGAGACTACGACTCCAAAAAAAAAAAAACTGGATAAATCTGTACTAACTTTAGTTAGCTCATGAAAGTCTGAGAGATCACTACTCATGCCCAGCTGATCTGACCAAACATTTTCACAGTAACTAAAGCATATGCAGGTTTCTTCTTTTCAAAATTCATTTACCTATTATGGAGTACGGGTACAAGTGAGGACTGACTACCTAAGTCAGCTGCGTGCAGGTGGAGTCGGGGCCTCCAGGCAGCCCTCGCTCCCCCAGTGGCGGACCCGGGGCTTTCGTGTGGTCCCGGGCCCCCGCCTGCCTCCCACAGCCCCTTTTCCAACGCCTCACCTTCAGCTGGGAGATCGATTTCGTGCTCACAAACCTGCAGCCGTCTTAACACAGGTAAAAACAAGACTTTCACTCATAAACAGACCCTGAACAATGATAATGCTGTAAGAAAGGGATTGGCGGTAGTGGGAAAGTGCCGGGGGGGAGCCCGGAGAGCACACTTCATCAATAAGGGTACCTGATCTCAAAGCAGGTGAAGGAGGGACCAAAGGGAGGTCAAACTTTACCTGTACAATGACCATTTGTATACCTAACCCTGAATTGCACACCCCACGTCTATTACATTAAAGAAAGAAAGAAAAAAAAACAAGACTTGCCCAATCTAGTTCCAAGAGCCGCTGAGAGAGCTTCTCTGACACCAGGTGCAGCTCCTGTTCTGAGAACCTCTTTCCTGGCCTCTGTGGAAAAGGTGAACTGCAGGACAAGGCGGTGTCTCCGTGTTCATCTCTACAATGAAAGCAACCATGGGACTTGCAGGTAGCCAGGAATTATGCAGTGTCAACTGGTACATGTGCTTTCACAAAGATTCCACACCAGGCTCACAGCTCCACCTGTCACCAGTCCCTCTGCACGCAGGCCCAGAGACGTGCGCCTGCAGGAACGTTACCTTTGTCCTCTGAGAGGCTTCCTTGTCTGAGGGCCTCGAGCCTGAGCTGTGTACACTTCCTGTCTGCCATCCTTAGGCAATGTGGATATTAAAACTCTATCACCTGGTTCCTGTTAAAAGCAGAAAAGCGATTTGGAAAAGCTACAAAGGAGACACCAGAACCCTTCCAGGGTGGGGAAGGGAGGAACTGCGGCAGGAGCCAGGCGCCTTCAGTCTCCGCATCCGCTTTGACTTGCTGGTCACGATGCCCCGCTGCCACCAATGTTGATGCTGACATCAGAGGACAGGTGAGGCCTGGGAACCTGAACTTGGAGGAGTGTGGCCTGGAGTCCACACCACAGCAGGATAAGCGGGGCTGGTTGTGAGACATAGCTCCAGGCCACAGCTGCACTGGACAACAGGGTGCCCAGAATCACAAGGGCACAGCGCTGGAGTCAACGAAGGTTGTCTCAAATTGAAGCCGTTACAACAGAGAGAAAACATCCCAAAACAGGAATATAAAGCTGACATTTTTGAAGTTGTTTCTTTTTTTTTTTTTTTAAAGTTGGAGTCTCACTCTGTTGCCCAGGCTGGAGGGCAGTGGCACACTCACAGTCACTGCAGCCTTGACCTGCTGCACTCAGGCAATCCTTCCGCTCAGCCTTCCAAGTAGCTGGAACTACAGGCATGCACCACCATGCCCAGCTAATTTTTTGATTTATTGGAGAGATGAGGTCTTGCCAAGTTGCCCAGGCTGGTCTCAGGCAATCCTCTCACCTTGGCCTCCCAAAGCGCTGGGATTATAGGTGTGAGCTGCTGTGGCCAGCCTTGTTTCTTAACCTCAGAGAGAAATCTTTTAGAAAGTATTCTGTGGTGCAGAAACATTTATTTAATATTTAATTAGATCTCTGATTTCACATTTCATTGCACTATCTTTTTCTATTAAAATTAACTACTTTTTAGTAAACAGCAACTGTAATACAATCACGTTTGTAAATAACTTCCAAGTGGCCCAACGAATTATTCCAAAATGAACACTCAGTTAATTGCTAACCAGTCAAGAAAGAGAAAATCATCAGCAGCTCAGAAGCTCTCCCCCCAGCCCCCGACCTCCCAAAGGTGGTCTTCATTCCATGACCCCATTTCAATCTCTTTTCCTGTCTCCTCCCTCCTGCCGGTACGGAACACAGAATGTGAGAATGATGGGCACCTGATACAAACACTGCTCATTCCTTCTCTGTACTTTTTATGCACTGTTTGAATTTTTTTAAGTTTTTGTTGTAGAGATGAGGTCTTGCTATGTTACCCGGGCTGGTCTTAAACTCTTGGGCTCAAGCAGTCCTCCTGCCTTGGCCTCCCAAGTGGCTAGGACTATATGTGCGTGCCACCACATCCAACTTGAATTTTCCAATAATGAGAGTGCATCTATCACCGTCGGTAAAATCCATCCTGTGTACACGCCTGCCTGTTCTTTTTAGGAGACAGGAATGGGATGACTGTATAAAAAGTGTTTATTTTCAAAGAAGGAAGGAGTTGAAGCAATTAGGCCAATATATGAACAGTGATTCATGCTGGATGATGGGAATATGGACAGATATTTTCTTTTTCACACTGTGTTTTTGAAATTTAAACTCCATCAGCCTCCCCACAACACGCACACAGCAGCCCCTCCTGAGCGGTTGTGGGAATGAACCCAGAACGGTGTCTGGTATCACGTAAACACTTGGGACGTGCTGCTGCTTACCATTTCCCTTTCATGTACTCGCCTTGCCCTGTCCTCCTCAGTCACGGACACGCAGGTGCATCAACAGGCACATTTAAGCAGCGGGATGCTCGACCAGTGTGATCTGCCTGACCACTCTCCTGGCAGAGACCCCTTTTAGGACATGGGCTTCCCCGACAAAGAACACCAATGAAAACCCTGTCTGCGCCTGGCCCACAGAAGCAGGCTCTCCCACTTACCGCAGGGGGCTCGGCGTGCCCTTCAGCAGAGCCCACAGTGGGGGGGCCATGGCCGGACCACAAGTGCTCCCTCCCCACGGGACAGGGCGCTCGAAGCCCCGCAGGCTGGTAGGGCGGGTGCAAAGGGACGGCTGCCCGGACTGGCTCCCCCAGCTTTCTGGCGCGCGGCACTGCACTCACAGAGGGCGTCTCCCCTAGCAAGGCAAGGCAGAGTGGACATTCAGATGCAGCCCAAGGGAAGAAAACACTCGTACGACTACAGACCCATGTTCACGTGACACTAACCCTGATGAAAACAAGGCACAGAAAACAGTCAAGCCAGGGATCAAATTAACTCGGGATGTGCTTTTGATGTGATCATCATTAAGATGTTCCCTGAAAGTTATTTAAAAACAGTAAAACTTGGAAGCAACCTCAACAGCCTGAAGAATACTATGCAAATAATGGCTCAGGCACGACAGCAAGCTGGCTGGCCACCGGTGACCACACGTGACACCATCATGGGGAGGACCCAGCAACAACAGGAGGAGCGGGAATCTGTCTCCAGTTGCTGCCTTGTGTCATTCACTAACAATCGGAAAACCACCCACCGATGTGCTGGTGTCTCTGAGACGCTTACTGTCCTTAAAAACAAAAAACAGAGTCTCTGTTGGACAGAACCTAGATAAAATAGTGGATGTAAGAACGTGTAGCCAAAGACCGTCTCCAGCAGAAATCAGAGCTCGCAATGGCAAACACTTACATGTGAGATCACGTAAAACCAGCAAGACTCTCACACAGAGCAGCAATGGTAGAGGGGCTGGGGGCAGGATACGTTACCCCAAGAATTATCACCCCAACCTGGCTGGGGTCTAAAAACCCATACCCCTCACAGCTCACAGTCATCAATGAGGTACGTCCTGTTCTTGGACAGAAAGCGGGATGGGGGTGGGCACAGCTCATCTTCCCGTGACTTGGAAACTGGCGAGGCTGAGGATCTGCCTGACTGCACTTCACTAGGAATCTGGGCACCTGGGAAAGACACCACGGAAGGCTTAGGCTTAAGCCAGCGGGCAGCATGCTGGACAGTACACGCAAGCCAGGAGTTCTGCACTCAGAGTGACAACCTTAGGAACTACAGAATATGGAAAGAACTGTGCTGGTCCAACTGCTCAAAATAACAATTCTCTTCAATAACCATCGGAGGCTAAGGTGCCATTCTGTAGCCCAGAACCATTTCCATAACTCAGAAGCCAAGTTTTACACAATATTTCATTATTTTGCTTTAGAAAACACAGGAGCCAGAGTTGCAGAAAAGCCGGCGGCTGTGTGGGCGTGTCTCTGGGATGGAGACACAGGGTGAGAGGTCCTGGCTGGCACCACAGCAAGAGACCGAGAGCTCCCCGAGATACTGGGGAGTGCATGTGGCGGTGACCTGGCACCTTACATCTGGACCTCAGGAAGCTGCCCCATGCACATGTATCACCTAAACCCAACACCCGGGCAGGTCCCTCCCACACTCTGCCTAGCGATTCTCAACACAAGTGTTCTACTTATCGTGTAAAAAGCAAACAATTACTTTTCAGTCACACCTGCCTCACAAGGCACCTGTGTCTCAGAAGCCATGTCCACGAGCGCCGCCCCTTCCCCAGTGCCCCACGGACTCCTCCTTGAGGAAGCACTCCTGCATCACCCCCCCTCAACTCGACCCTGCGCTTTTGGGCTTAGTCCATCAGTAAACACAGACCTCTGGTCTCCTGCCTGGCCTTTGAGACAGGCTCTCTGGCCACACATCCGGGGAACATAGTGTGGCTGCTGTGGACTCTGAGTATGGATGCTAAGAGGGACTCGAGAGGGGTTGGTCCAGTTTTCTAATTTCACACAGGAAGAAACAGGGGCTTAGAAAAGTTAAAGGCCCTGCCCAAAGCCACACGGCCGGGAGCAGAATGTGCCTGGGACAAAGGCCCCTGCCTCCCGACCTGCTGTACGGGCGTCCACACTGCGTTCCCATCCTTCCATCTGAGAAATACCCAGCATGACCTGGTGTTTGGAAAAGTTTGGGGATACTAAGGCAAATAATTTCACTGTCATTTTACTTATCAGCTGCCTCCCCAGGTGAAGTGTGTAAGCTGAACCTAGAGGCAGGGACATGTGTGATGTTGGCCAGCGTCCCAGTGCCTGGCACAGAGGAGGTGCTGAAGGAGTATGACGTGGCTACTGTCCCTGGAACTCAGTCTGTGCAACAGACTAAGTTGCCATGAGCTACGTGAACAGTGTGACAGAAAGAGAAGGCCACGCTGTGGGGCCACGCTCAGAGCCGAAGCCGGGGGAGGCTGGGCACTAGAGCTGGGCGGTCAGGAGCAGGAGGAGGCTGAGCATGGGCAGGGCAGAGGAGGACCAGTAGGAGGGCAGGTGGGGCCGAGGGAGTCCGTCCCGGCTCAAGCAGCGGGTGGCAGCGACGGGTAAAGCATGCCAGCCGGCCCAGGGATCTGCAGTCCTGGCATCCTCTGACTGTGGGGGTGCATTGTGAGCCGCACCCAGGCTTCTCCTCCCAGGCCTGCAGGTGCCACAGGGTCCATGACAGCCTGGCCCGCTTCTCAGCCAGGGCTCATCTGCCAAGTGCCCGTGACTCTCACATGGCTGTGATTCCAGTTAGCTGCTCACGGTGAGTGGCTATTGGGGTTCTGGAGTTTCCACTCCAACGTCCACTCAGGGCTCTCTGTTCCTCTCAATTTTGAACACTCCCAAGTATGAGCTATTTATATTTTCCTGGCAGCATGCTGAGTCACAGTAGCCGACGTGTGCAGTGTAACTACTCACCATGACTCCTCAGAGAAAAGGTGTGCGCCGTGTCTCCCAGTCTGATTATTTCACCGGCAGATTCTGCATCGTCTCCCTCCCAGGAGGGACCCAAGGCCTCAGATGGCAAGGAGCACCTGCAAGAGTCCCCCGTCTACTCAGGGCCCAGCCTGACTACGGAGGACCCTTCCCTGAGGACCCAGAGAGCTGCTGGCACGGGCAGCGACAGAGTCTCCCGCCTGCTTCTCCGTCCCGTCTCGCCTGCTCCGTGAATGGTGAAGCCAGCTGTGTGCAGAGTGCCAAGAACTGAGCACACAGGAGAAAACAGATGCCAGTGACGCCAGGGTGAGAGGGAAGCAGAGCCTGGGTAGGGAACTGCTCTGGCGTTCAACATCCTTGAATTGTTTCACTTTTGCACTTACTGTTTTTTAAATCTTACAATGAAAATAAGTTCCTCTCATGCTGGTCTCTGAGCCACATTCTCAGAGTACAGTACAAGGCACTGCCTGTGCTTTTCCAGCCATGACAAACGCCATAAACAACAGAGAATCAGACACTAAAGAGGAAGCCACAGCATCCTGCTCAACCCTAGCGAGCAAGAAGTGCATCCAAGCCTGTGGTGGCAGCACAGACTGCACAGCCAGCCCACTAGTTGAGGGCCCCAGCCCCGGGGCTGCAGGGGCCGAGCACCTGCAGGCGGCTGGCGGACACACAGCCACGGCCTTTTGGGAACAATGTGGCAACATCTGTGAATCGCCTTCAGACCTTCACACACACTATTGGACTCTGAATCTAGCTTAGGGATGCGGAGAGGAAAAAAAGGGTATCTTTTTTTATATTATTAAAAAAAAAACCTCCACATTGGAGGAGCAGCCTCGTAAGCTTGGATATACCCATATGAATGACATGACACACAGGGCTAAAAGTTACCATGAAGAGCTGACGATCTGGGAAGAGCTGATGCTAAGTTTTAAAATCCAGGAGACAAAACTACACGGACAATATGACTAAGCCAAAAAAAGAAAAAAGGACTAAAAAATAAAGTGTTAGTTCTTAACGGCAGATGTCACTTTTTCCAGTTTTTAAAAACTTTCCCTTTACCTGGCGATTCTCTTGCAAGGAAGCTGAACGACTGCAATGACCAAGGAAGAACATGGAAATGAGGCCAGGCGCGGGGGCTCAGCCTGTAATCCCAGGACTGTGGGAGGCCGAGGTGAGAGGACTGCCTGAGCCCGCAGGTTCGAGACCCACCTGGGCAACTTGGCGAGACCTCATCTCTACAATAACCCCAAAATTAGCCAGGCAAGGTAGTGCGCGTCCATAGTTCTGGCCACCTGGAAGGCTGAAGCAGAAGGACCGCCTGAGCCCAGCAGGTCGACACCAGGGTGGTCTTGAGTGCGCCACTGCCCTCCAGCCTGGCGGCGGAATGACAACATGCACAGCAGGCTTCCTGCTCAGACACTCCTGGGTATCGTTCTGATATAGCACATGTGATTTTAATTCTTAGCAGTAGAAAAAGCACAACTTGTGCTGATGAAATTCACAGACACTGAAGGCTACCTCCCACAAGGAACGCCTTTCCAGGATGAGTCAGGCTCTCCGGCGCTCTCTGGCTCTTCCACAGGCTCTCCTCGGTCGGAGTCTCTAAAATACTCTCCAGTCTCACCTGTTCAGAACAGACGAAAACAACAATTCCAGAAACCCCGAGTGAATACTCCTCTTTCTACCAAGAGGCAGGGAGAGGGGAGGACTGCGAGGCACCCCAGCCCGTCCTGGGAAAATGGGCTCCTGGGAGAGTGAAACAAGAATGAACCCAACTGTCGTCTGCAATGAGCGTGTCTGATTCGAGGAGCAAAGAAACAAGAACGTTCCTTAAAAACAAAGTCTCAGTTGTGGGTGCGGCACCTTATCTCCAAACTAGGCAGCAGTTCATTCTTCACCCTCTGTGCCTCTTCAACTGCAAGGGATGTCTGAGGCAGTCCGCCAAGATCACAGGAAAACACAACTGTGTCAACCAACTGCAGCTCTAAGACAACAAGCCTACCTTGGGCTGGGAGTCAGACTGCAGCACAGCTTGGATGAAGTGTTTCTTGAGACTGTCAACCTGTTTTCACCCCAACATCTCCAAGAACACACACCTTCACCAGCAGTGAGTTCACTCACAGGCAGCGACTTCAAAACACTGAGGGTAAAACTTCCTAGGATCCAGAGTCTCCCCTCTGGAAACGCCCATACTAGTTTCCGGGGATTCACCATTCAAACGTCCTCCTTTGTTTTTTTCTTCTTCTGCATTCACCAAGCAATACTTTGATAACATCAGTTAACACTTATCATGCATTGACTGTGCGCCGGCTGTGTGCTCAACTGTTGACACTCACTTAACCTTCAGCCACACGTGAGAGACTCTCGGGTGAAAAGACAGGCTAAGAGAGCATCAGGCCCCCACTAGAGAGAGCCCAGCACGGCGCCATGCTGCTCCGGAACCCTAAGCTTCACTCCTTCACTGGAGGAGTGTCCCAGCTCAAGGACAGGAGAGGCCAGCCCACAGTGGGCATGACGGGTGCCTGGAAAGCATGCCCCAGTGCTGTTAGCTGCCATGTGGAGAGTCTGACCAGCCAGGGGCCAGACCACCCAAGTCTACTTGGGACCTGCAAAGGTCAAGACCCAGCCCACAGGAATCACTCATCCTGTCATTCAGGGAGGCCTATCTGAGCACCCCCCGCCCCTGGCCGAGCTCACTTCGCCCTGTCCAGGAACGCCTCTTAGCAGATGGCTCCTGCTAGCCTCTCAGAGAGCCTCTGGCCCTGCTCCTCGATCCGAGGCCACTGCCCTGCCACCCGCCAGGCACCGGCCTCCCTCCCTGCCCTGCAAGCAGACACGGAGCAGCACAGCCCCTACCACCCTTCCAACGTCTCACATCTCTCTCCGTTTCTTTCCCAGAGGGAGTTTTCCGCCTCTCAACTCTGCTGCTGCTAAAAAAGTAATCAAAAAACATCAAAACTAAAAATACACAAAGATCCAAATGCCCCCTGAGAAACTGAGTCAGGTGAGTCTCAAGGCCCCTCTCATGTTTTTACTGTGCATCTTTACTGCTGTCTGTAAAGCACGGGTTGCCGAGAGCAATAAACATGACGTGTAGCTTGACTCCTCCCAGGACACCCACCTACGAAACAACTTGAAAAAAACAGAAGCAGAGATTTCCAGTGTGACACCTGCTTCAATTTTCTCATCCAGCATTTAAATCTTTTCAACAGTAATGATTAAATGTTGAAGATAAGCCGGGCTCGGTGGCTCAGCCTGTAATCCCAGCACTTTGGGAGGCTGAGGTGAGTGGATGGCCTGAGCCCGCGGGTTCGAGACCCGCCTGGGCAGCGAGACCTCATCTCTACAATAAATCAAAAAAATCAGCCGGGCGTGGTAGCACATGCCTGTAATTCCGGCTATTCGGAAGGCTGAGGTGGAAGGATCGCCGGAGCCCAGCAGGTCGAGGCTGCGGTGGCCGGGAGCGGCCACTGCCCTCCAGTCTAGGTGACAGAGTGAGACTCCAACTCAAAATAAATAAATAAATAAATAAATAAAGGTTGAAGATATCTCAAACCGAAGACTTTAAGACTAACTTCAGATGTTATAATCAGCACAGTCTCACATCAATAGCATGAGAATTATGAAGGGAGAGCCCACCCCAACCTTTTGTCTTGGGTTGTACTAGGACTTGTGTTAACTGCTAATGCTGCTCAAAACTTTTTTGGACTACTCTGCAACAAAAATAATCACGTATTATCCCATCCATGATCCACAGCATTATTTACGCAATCTCAGATAATTAAGACACACAGGCCCTTCTTTTCCCCCCACGATACCATTGGTATTACTTCCTTAGAATAAACTCCTAGAAATGAGATTGATCAAGCCAAAGATGACACCTAGTTCTTAGGCACTGCTGATTGGGTTGAAATAACCATAACACTTTTGGGTAATGATATGGCAATACTGATCTTTGCAATTACCATTAAAAAATACAAATCAAAACTTCACACAAATAAGTCATTCCAATTTGGGGAGATGGTTACTCAAAGCGTAAAATAAAAAACAAGAAATATTCAGGCTGTCACAACATCTAAGTGTAGCTCGAAGACAGAAATTCGCCGACTCTTCAATGGCAGCTCAGACACACAAAATTTTGGCAAGAAGTTTTACGTAGCTGTAGGACAAAAAACAATTTAGCCAGAAATTTACCTTTCTATTGCAGGTTAGTTTTGAGGTAATTTATTCTTACTTAGTTTTTTTTGAGTCAGGGTCTCACTCTGTCGCCCAGGCGGGAGGCAGTGACACGATCTCAGCTCACTGCAATCTCAACTTCCTGGGCTCAGGCGATCCTTCCACCTCAGCCTCCTGAGTAGGTGGGAGTACAGGTACGTGCTACCACACCCAGCTAATTTTTTTGTCTTTTGTGGAGACGAGGTCTTCTTATGTTGCCCAGGCTGGTAGTTTTAAAGTAATTTATAAGCAAGATCCAAGTAAACAACATGATTACAGCTAAGACAGAGTTTCCAGCCACTTGGAACAGTGTGAACTGGAAATACATGCTTAAAGCTACCAGGGAGACTGCATCAGTGACTGTGCTTCCTCTGCAGAAAAACAGGCAGAAAGATGAAAGGCAAGAGGGAGAGCAAGAGGCAGCAAACCAGACCACATCTCCAGTCTGCAACTTACTTTTCTCGCGAGCTGTTTCACTGCCGTGTTCCGTGAGATACTCCAGCAACCCATCAAATATTTCCAGGAGATTCTTAATAGACTCTTGATCTCCTTTCACTATATTTTCTCCTGAACACAGAATACAGATCCGTAAAAAAATGTTAATAGGAAACCCAAAAGCCTCAGAATCTTGACATGAATATAACACCGCGAAACGCAGCTCAAGAATACAGAAGAAAAGATAGTATAGATGTTAAAGATACCCATTTCCTGCTGCCTGGTTATATCTGAAGAAGTAAAGGCGAAGCTTTGAATATGGTGTTTAATAAGCTCACTTGCATGTTTCTTCCTGTTTTCAGGAAGCAAAAATAATTGGAAAAACAACCTCCCCAAAGGTTTATACCAAGACATGAAGCAGCGAAGCAGAATGTTACCAGGCTGGTGAGAGAACGGTCACAGAGAACTACAAGCGCACTTGAGACCTGCTTCCAGATCAGCATCACAGCAGCACAACACCAAAGCCAAACACAAAACACGTGCCGGGAGATGTGCACCAGGAATTCCTAGGGTTGTTTGCTAGCACTTGGTGTAGATTATGCCATTTTTCTGATTGAAATTCTGTTTACGTCTCCCTTTCTCAGATCTCACCCCGTCCTCAACCTCTCCAGTCTCATCTCTCACCACATCCACTTTATTTTTTTTTTTTTGAGTCTGGGTCTCACCCTATCACTCAGGCTGAAGTGCGGTGGCATGATCATCGCTCACTGCAGCCTCAACATCTGTGCTCAGGTGATCCTCCTGCCTCAGCCTCCCAAGTAGCTGGGACTACATTTGTGCATCACAACACCCAGCTAATTTTTTTAAATGGAGACCAGGTCTTGCTATGCTGCCCAGGCTGGTCCTAAACTCCTGGTCTCAAGCAATCCTCCCACCTTGGCCTCCCAAAATGCTGGGATTGCAAGCGTGAACCACTGCACCCAGCCAATACAACTTTATACTATTAATTTATACTTGTAAGTTAAACTTTAAACAATCCCTAACACAGCACCTGGCCCATAAGAGATTTTTTTAACCCTTTGCACTCAGAGGGGACATTGCAAATCTAGCAAACCACTTGGATGTCCCCTCTCAGGGGATATAAGGCAATTATGGGTGATTACACAGGACAAACTTGCGAAAATGTGTTTTCTTGAAGTTTTCCATTCAAATTGCCAGAGAAAGCAAACAGAGATGGAGTATATACTGAGATACATGTTAAAAACATATCAGCTGGCATTAGGTAGAAAAAGAATGTGTGAAGTAACTTCACAGTGGTGCCCAGACAGGACAAGAAATCACATTTTATCACTGTGGGAGGGAGAAAACAAGTCAGCATCATCTGCTTGAATAGAAAAACACCAGGTAGAAGACATGCAACAAATTCTTATTGCACAACGTGTATCAATGAGCTGCAATGCATGTCAGTGACTGTTTCACACATTACCACGTCAGAAAAATTTAAGATTTTACAATTTTGAATACTGTTATTAATAAATTCCTCAATGTCCAGAATTCCATTATAAGCCAAACATCACTACAACAAAGCAACTGGTTCCAAAGCGACGTATGCTATTTAATATGAAGCAATCCATTTTCTACCATTCCGTAATCAAGTTGCAGTCAAGTTGCTGGCAGGTGGTGATCTGCGAGAAGTCTCTGGGCGCAAAGGGTTAACTCAAAAGTTGAAAGGCCGAGCAGAAACGCGATGGCAAAAGCATGGAGACTTGACTTGTTTAACGTCCCCTAAAGCGGTCTCCAAATCAGTATCGGGCAGCAACTGAATTGAACTCTCAGGACACTGTCCTTTGGGAGACAAGGTCTAGCATTTAAACCGGCATAGGAGAAGCAGAGCTGAAATCTGATGTTTGGGTGATTTCAGCCATTTGTAACTTTAGGCATGATGCAAACGAGCCTCAACCAGAAACCCGATGTTTCATACTCATATTAGTAAAGACAGACAACATCTGACAGTTGCTTCTGTTTAAACACTAACTAGAGGCCGGGCGTGGTGGCTCATGCCTCTGGGAGGCCGAGGCAAGAGAGCTACCTGAGCTCAAGGGTTTGGAACCAATGTGAGCAACATGGCAAGACCTCGTCTCTATAATAGATCAAAAAATCAGCTGGGCATGGCAGCACGCGCCTATAGTTCCAGCTACCTGGAAGGTTTGCCTGAGCCCAGCAGGTTGAGGCTGTGGTGGCCACTGCATTCCAACCTGGGTGACAGAGTGAGACTCCAGCTCTAAATACATAAATCAATAAATAAATCACTTACAAGAAACCTTTTTTTCAGGCCCTGGTTTTTCTGGCTTAAAAATATGTAAGTCTATCCTGAAGGCATGCTCAGTCTTCTTCAGCTTCCAGGATGATGAGGAGACTGACAGCTTAGCAACAAACCCGCAAGCTGGGGACGCGGGACTTCCTGGAGAAGCATGGGAAGTGAAGAGCTGCCATGCAGCCTCCAGAGGAAGGCAGGCAGTTCTGCAGGTCTTCACAGCATGGGGCTAATTGGTCAGGGCACTCCTGTGTTAAGAAGTTCTACAAGGCCAGGTGTGGTGGCTCACGCCTATAATCCCAGCACTTTGGAAGGCCAAGGTGAGAGGACTGCCTGAGACCATGGGTTCAAGACCAGCCTGGACAACTTGGCTGGGCAGCCCCATCTCTACAGCAAATCAAAAAATTAGCTGGGCCTGGCGGCATGTGCCCGTAGTTTCAACTACTTGGAAGGCTGAGACAGAAGGATCACCTGAGCCCAGCAGGTCAAGGCTGCAGTGGCCAGGAGCGTGCCACTGCCTTCCAGTCTGGGTGACAGAGTGAGACTCCAACTCAAAAAATAAAAAAAAAAAATAAAATAAAATCTTGCTATAGTGCACCTGAAACAAGCATAAACACTAGAAATTACCTTACACTGGTGATAAAGTAATTCCCAGTTGCAAAAAAACAGGGAAGCTCTGGGAACACCCCTGAAAAGGAATCACTTCCAGGGTGACTCCCACGTGTGCTCAGAGAACTGCACTCAACCCCACTGTCGCTCTACTATGCAGCTGAGAATGTAATCTGGGCTGACCCTAAGAAACATGTATCTTGTGGCTACTGTCAAGGAGTACACGAATAGCGTGAGCGTTCTAGAGTTTTAAGTCTCCAACATTTTCTCTGTTCGTTAGCGTGAAATAGTTTCCTGGGATAATTTTCATTTTTCGCTATCTATATGTTACACAAGCACTTTCAAATGAACCCGGTATGGCTGATTTTAAGATATAGTATACTTTATTTTAAAAATTTAGTTATAGCCGGGCTTGGTGGCTCAGTCTGTAATCCCAGCACTTTGGGAGGCCAAGGTGAGTAGATTGCCTGAGCCCACGAGTTCGAGACCCACCCAGGCAACTGGATGAGAGTTCGTCTCTACAACAATTAGCCGGGCGCAATAGCGTGCACCTGTAGCTCCGGCTACTTGGAAGGCTGAGGCGAGAGGATCGCCTAAGCCTAGCAGGTTAAGGCTGCAGTGGCCGGGAGTGTGCTACTGCACTCTAGTCTGGGCAACAGAGTGAGATTCCAATCAAAAAAAAAAAAATTTTTAGTTACATAAAATAATTTTGGAGGGCAAACCCCTTAGGTCTTCTCCCACCGTGGGAGCTTTTCCTGGCCTCTCAATAAATCCTACTTTCTCACTCTCCCACTGTCTGTAAAAAAAAAAAAAAAAAAAAAAAAAAAAAAAAAAAAATTTTGCATAATACAGTTCAAAATTGGTACTGTTTCATACTCATATTAATGTTTCATACTCTGTATATAATGAACGTCCTCATCCCCTCATCCTGGGCCCTGAAACTCTTGTTAGAGGTTACCAGTATTACAAGCTTCTTATTTAGGTCAGGGTCTCACTGTGTTCCCAGGCTGGAGTGCAGGTGTACGATGCTGGCTCACCGCAGCCTTGACCTTCTGGGCTCTAGTGATCCTCCCACCTCGACTTCCTGAATAGTTGGGATTACAGGCATGTACCACCACATGCGGCCAGTTTTTTTTATCTTTTGAAGAGATGAGGTCTCACTATGTTGCCCAGACTGGCCTCAAACTACTTGGCTCAAGCAATCCTCTCGCCTCCGCCTCCCAAAGTGCTGGGATTACAGGTGTGAGCCACTGCGCTCAGCCAAGTATTACAAGCTTCTATTCTATGCTTCTAGACAGACCCCAGCTTGAAACCGACTACGTGTATGTTCTCCCCCTCTGTTTTTACAGTTACACACTCAGCACAGGGTCGCTTAGGCGGCATCCCGTTTCTCCCAAGGATGTGTTCCCTGAGCGTGGAGCACTGCAAGAGCAGCAGCCTCCCCACCCTTCACAGCGGCAGGAGGCCCTGCACAAGGCTCCTGCAGTTGCCCTGACCAGACCCTGCTAACAGACAGTTAAATGTCTCTAATTTGTAGCTGTTACAGACAAGCAGCCGGCTCAGTGGCTCACGCCTGTCATCCCAGCACTTTGGGAGGCGGAGGCGAGAGGACTGCCTGAGCCCACAGGTTTGAGACCAGCCTGGACAACAGGGCAAAACCTTGTCTTTACAATTTAAAAAAAAAAAAAATTAGTTGAGTGTGGTGGCGCACACCTGTAGTTCCGGCTACTTGGAAAGTTGAGGTGGAAGAATTGCCTGAACCCAGCAGGTCGAGACTGCAGTGTGTGAGCCACTGCACTCCAGCCTGGGTGACAGAGAGAGGCTCCAACTCAAAAAACAAAACAAAAAAAACCAAGCAGCATCAGTATCTCTAAAGTAACAAAACGACAACAAACACACACCTCAGGTGATCCCAAACGCTTCCATTTCAGACCCAGATCCATCAACAAGACAACGCTCGCCCTCCAGAAAAAGTGCTCAGGACGGCCCCCCCCCAGCCCTTCACCAGAGCCCTCAAGGTCTTCACTCAGGTTCACAGCTTGACGCCTCCCATAAGCTTGCTCAGCTGGTACAGCCAACGCCGCCTATGGCTCCACCAATTACTACCACACATGTCACTAGATAGTGACTCCCACACTCACCTGTGATGTGAGACAGGCTGACCTGCAGGTAGTCCAAGGCCAGCGAATCGATGACGGCCTGGATGTTGTGAGCGTCATCCTCTGGACTCCTGGGGACGGCTATGAGGTCTACGGGTGGGGGAAGAGATCACGTAATCTTGCATGCATCAAAGTCCAAGTTTTCATCTATTTGCCACGGAACAGACTTCAATTGCTACAAAAGAAACCTCTGTCCACACAACATAGGCTCCAAGGCACAGCTAGCCAATCCTGAGTTCTACACAGGATTCTTGCCGTTGCACTATTTGTTGACTTAGAGCACTGTTCAAGACGAACACAGACCGCTCGAATATTCACTCAGCAAGCCCTACGTGAATGGGCTCCACGGGAAGCACCCCGTGAAGGAAGGAAACGTGGTCCCCCAGGCTCCAACCCACCCTGCCCGCGGGCTGCTCTCAGGGAAAACCACCCCGCCAGAGTCAGGGCGCGTCACGTGACCTCCGAGAGCCTCCGGGAGCCACCGGCCCCGCAGGGAAGCAGAGAACACAGCTTCCAGGGACCAGTGCGGTCCCGGCGAGGAGGATCCGGGCCGGGGCCTCCCTCCGTACTGACCAAGAGGAGCCCCGGGCCGGCCGGGGCAGCCCCGAGAACCGGGCCCGAGCCACCGCGGGCCCCAGCAAGGCGTGGCACGGAGAACGGAGGCGGGAGAGGCGACGCTGGCCGTGAAGAC